CTCTTCGGGTACTGCTGCACGTTGCTGCTCACCGTGACTACGAGCTGCACTCTCTCGACTTCAGCACTGCTTTCTTCCAGGGCAGCCTGCACTAGGAGATCTGGCTGCGTCGCCCACCTGGCTTCACTGGGTCTTTCCCTCCTGGTACCCAGTGGAGTCTCCGGCGTCCAGTCTACGGTCTCCGCCAGGCGCCACGTGAGTGGCACGACACACTGAGGACTACGCTCGCGGCACTTGGGTTTGCTCCTTCTACTGCCGACCCGTCGCTGTTTCTGCGCACCGACACCTCTCTGCCGCCGTTCTACATCCTCGTGTACGTCGACGACTTGGTCTTTGCCACAGCTGACACTGCTGGACTCGCCTACGTGAAGTCCGAGCTGCTGAAGAGACACACGTGCACTGACCTGGGTGAACTGCGCAGCTACCTTGGCTTGCAGATCACCCGGGACAGAGCACGCCGCACCATTACCCTGACTCAGTCACACATGGTGCAGCAGGTCCTTCAGCGCTTCGGCTTCACGTAATCCTCGCCTCAGGCCACTCCTCTGCCTACTCGCCACTCGCTCTCAGCTCTGCCTTCGGATGAGTCCGTAGAGTCGAGTGGCCCGTATGCAGAGCTTGTTGGCTGCCTCATGTACCTGATGACCTGCACACGACCTGACCTTGCATACCCTCTTAGCATTCTCGCACGCTATGTTGCTCCTGGGAGACACCGACCAGAGCACATGGCTGCAGCGAAGAGGGTGTTGCGCTACTTGTGCAGTACGTCGGGCATGGGGCTAGTGCTTGGAGGGCGGAGTCCAGTGGTCCTCACTGGGCACGCGGACGCTTCTTGGGCTGACGACCAGGCTACGCAGCGGTCATCACAGGGTTACACCTTCAGCCTTGGTTCCGGCTCTGTTTCGTGGCGGGCTACCCGCTCGTCTTCTGTTCTCGGCTCCAGTTGTGAGGCTGAGATCTACGCCGGGGCTATGGCTGCACAGGAGTTACGCTGGCTCACCTACCTGCTGACCGACCTTGGAGAGCCGCCTCGTTCTCCTCCAGTCCTGTACGTAGACAACAAGTCCATGCTGGCCTTGTGTCGAGAGCAGCGACTGGAGCACAGGACAAAGCATATTGCTCTCCGCTACTTTCTTGCTCGTGAGCTACAGCAACGTGGACAGTTGCGACTTGCGTACGTGGCCTCTGAGGCCAACACTGCTGATGTCTTCACCAAGGCACTTGCGCCTTGTGATCATCAGCGTTGTTGCACGCAGCTGGGTCTTGTACCTGTCTTGCCTCACTTGCTCACTTCTTGACTTTGCTTGTACCTTCACCTATATATACTCTTGCTCTTGCTTGCTTGACTCTTGTATATCTTTATATATGATCTTGCATGTGAACTGGCCTTGTGGCCCTTGAACTTGTGCTCGGAATGTGTGGTGACTTTGTTATCCACCCTGACCTTTGCTTTGCTTTGCTTGACTGGTCTTGTGACCCCTTGTTCTCCCCCACTTTGCCTATGGGGGTGTGTCAGAACATTATAGCTTACTCATTTCTGTAGGCTATAGTGGGGTCTCCCATAAGGGGTACAACCCAATTAGGGTTTCATATTTGTACTCACTTCATTTCATAGTTCATCCATTTTTTCACGTTCCTTTCTTCACATATCCTTGGTTGGAGCATGTGCAAAGAGGATGTGTTTGTGCAGTCCGTAGTCACTATGTCCCCCAAATCTATGGGTGACATGCAAGGTTGAATTTTCCAGAAGAACTCTATAGGCGATCACATGCAACTCCATTTCTTCTGCTCCAGCGTGTTTCCTCGTCAGCATGACATGGTTCGAGTCCGAAGGTCCAATCGATTCGTTGAAAAGTTGATGCTTGTGGGCCCAAGCTCAATCCGTCCGTCCATTCAGCTTTGACATTTGCACCAGCCGTCGCCCAACCACCATTGCCCTCCCCACAGTCAAATGACAGAGCAATGGAAGGAGGCACAGTTTTACTTTTACAATGCAAACTGTGTGAGCAAGATGCAGGTAGAGAGAGTAGCTATTCAGGTGGCTAGAAAGGGGTATAGATGGATGGTGGCTATTCAGGTGGGAGCTGCTGCAGCATCGCTTGGAGAAAAAATGGGGGATGGATGGAGGAGACGGGGCAGATGTGGGAGGGGCTCAGCCCCTTCAGCCCCCTCAGCTCCCTCAGCCCCCTCAGCTACTACAGCCAACACTACAAATACTAGGCTTGTGTCAGCTAACAGGCAATTGCTGGTCAAAAGACTTGTGCATGTCAATAGAAACGTTGTGGTTGTTGCGTTCACCTATCGGATCCATTGCATCTTGTAGTGGGTTCAAATCTACGGCCCAGATTCCATCTCTGAGAAACAGTGCTCGATGGACGGTGATCAGAGCAAGGTACAGGTTATGCACCACCCGCTTCGGGACCTTCCAAGCATGCTGGTCAAGTTCGGCACCGTTTTTCAAGCCTCTGGAGGGGAGTAACGTCTTGTTGGAGTGGGAGGAGTGGCCTCAAGGCAATAAAGCTGCTGTGAAGTTTCCTGCCAACCCGAAAGAGAGATGTTTTGGGCTTGGGATTGTGGATGAGTGCGGTGGAGCAGCAAAGAAGCGGACCCCGCCTCTTCCTCTGCGGCACACATCTGAAGCGGGAGGGAACAACAGGAGTGCTGCAAGGAGAAAAGGTTGTAAGGCAACAGGGCAGAAATCTAGTGTAGAAGCCAAACAGAGCAGAGCATGTGGGAAACTTGAAGCGAGCAGAGCGTGTGGGAAAAAGGTTGAAGAACCTCGAAGCGCCATGCAGATAGTCACACTACCGCCTGCCTGAAGGAAGCTTCCAATCGTACGCTGCCGGGCCGATATGTACTTGCTTATGGGTTTAGCCGGGTTCCTAATGGACACTCCTACATGCACCCACTGCACCCACTGCTCCACAGACTTAATAAATTTTGCATCTCTCGCAAGCATGTCTCTCACATGTCTTGGCAGGACTAGCAGGAAGATACGTGGGAAGGATGGGAACACAGATGGCTACGAGAAAATTGGCAAGTGGAGTGGTTGTGAGGGTAGTGGCGACAGCGATGGTAAGGAAAGTGGGGTGAATGATGAGAAGATGATTGAGGAGGTCACTTGCATGGGCAGGTGCAAGGACTGGTTCGAAAGCATCGACGAGGAGAGTGGTTGTGAGGGTAGTGGCGACAGCGGTGGTAATGAAAGCGGGATGAATGGTGGAAAGATGTTAGGCGAGGTCAGTTGCACAGGCAGGTGCATAGGCTGCTGCGTCGGCAGGTGCAAGGATAGGCTTGAAAGCATCGGCGGCTGCACAGGCAGGTGCACAGGCTGTTGCATAGGCAGGTGCAAGGATAGGCTTGAAAGCATCGGCAAGGAGAGTTGGATGTGGGGTGGCGAAGTTGCGGGAAGGAAGGAAGAGTGAGAATGGAGGGGAGGGCAGGGAGGGGAGGGAGAAGACAGTTGTTGAGTTGGTGTGCATTCAGACGGTTACCTACTCGCAACAGACAATGCTTGCTAGCCTTTGGCCATGGCGAGAGCCATTCAGTCACATTTGTGGGTAGCTACGCACGCGTGCCTGCAAGGAAACACAAGTACAGGGACACCTTGCATGTGAGGAAGTGAAAAAAGACTTGAAGAATTTATGGTTCTGCTCCATGCTAGCCATGCCACAATAGAAAGACAGTGTAATTGAATCAACTGGTCCGAGACTCGGACGGAGGGTTCCTTCCAGCATTGCCCGTCTGTTATGTGCTCAGCATGTTGCTGTAAAGCTGAAGAGGAGGAGCCTTCTTCGACGGGTGTGGCAGGGCCATGCACACATCAAACGATTGCAGTGGTGATTTTGACCTATTCAGTGCAATCCTAGATAGGTACCTACTTGGATATTTCACTATTACTATAACAATGTTACGATCGGTACGTATGCACTACTACGGTGTACATTGTCAGCAGAACCAACACTGCAAGTATGGTACCCGTATGGCCCCGGATCAGGGTCCTTGCTAGGATTTGAACCCCCCTGATGCATCAGACGGGCCCTTCGGGCCGTCTGATGCGTCAGATATTTTGCTTTTTGCGCGTCTGATGAATCAGAAATTCTCATTATTCTATGTTTCAGTTCCAGAATAAACAAGAAATGTGTTTCTGATGGATCAGATGAAAACAAAAAACCATTTCTGATCAATCAGATGGAGTAAAAAGCCAATTCCTGGAAAATCAGATTGACAGAAAAAAAACATGTCTGGAAACTCAGAAAAACATACAAAAATGTCTGATAGCGAGGACCCTGCCCCGGATATAAGCGTATGCCTATTATAATCGCATGCCCTTGTATCTGGAGCAATGCACTTATGGCCGATCCTCATTTATAAGCGCACCCCCTGTAAAACCATGACTTTTTATAAGCGCATATACGGTATAATTATATTTTTTTTATCCTGATAAACACAGTAACGGAATCCAGTTTTGCAGCGAGTCACATCCATTTTCACATTGTTTGACTCTCTCGAGGGTCTCACTGGCTTCGAGTCCAGTCAGGATGAGCTGGCACACCTGCAAAGTGACGGGCCAAGGCTCTTTTCGCCGGCAGAGCATCGCCCTCACGCGATTCTGACTTGTGACCCTCTCACAATGCGTTTCGATTGAGATCGCAAGACTGAGATGTACAATTTGGCGCGTGTAAAATATATTTCTGTAACTGTCATTATATAAGCGCATGCGCTTAATTATAAGCGCACCCCCTAAAAAAACATGTTTTTATCATAAGCACAGGTGCGCTTTTATCCAGGGTGATACGGTACAAGTGATTCATCCATTGAGTTTCCCAATGAACTGAACAAGGGAAGGGCAGTCAATCAACTTGAGGCATTTCACAACCACAGCAATATCTGGGAGAATATCACAGAGCGATGACGGAAATGATGATGGGCCACAAGGAGTAGCGAAAATCTACAGTTTCATTCTACACTCTACTCCCTGTCATATGACTCATGTCATGTCATCCTAAATTGTTTTCATAATCTTGCGGCCGGCCTTCTCTGCTATCCACATCCATACCCCCTTGCAACCCTCCACCGAACCCGCCTCCCCCTACCCCGCCCGTCACCGCTGCTTCTTCCAGGCGCTGCCACGTGGCGGCGCGTAGCTCCTCCACGTCAGCAGCGCGGCCCTCTTCCTCCAGGAACTGGCGCTGGCACTCGTCATAGAGCGGCTGGTCCATCTCCAGAAACATCTTGCGCACGTTGATGGTCAGCCCGTTCACCGCCTGGGGGGAAAGGAATGGGGATGAGGGGGGTGGAGAGAGAGAGAGCGAGAGAGGGGGAAGGGAAAGGGAGGAAGTGGGGGGTGGGGAAGGGAAAGGGAGGAAGTGGGGGGTGGGGAAGGGAAAGTTAGGGGAGGAGCAGAAGTCGGAGAGCAGAGGGGGAGGTGAGAGAGAAGCAGCAGAGCATGCATTGGGCAGGGGAGCAACTGGTGCTGGCACTCGTCGTAAAGGGGCTGGTCCATCTCATGACACATGTTGCGCAAGTTGATGGTCAGCCCGTTCACCGCCTGGGGGGAGGAAAAGGGTGGGGGAGCGAGAACAGAGGGAAGAAGAAGAGTAGAAGTGGAGAGAAAGGAAGGGGAGAAGGAGCGAGCGGCAGAACACAAGGAATTGACAGGGGTTGATCCATCAACCAGAAACATCTTGCACACGTTGATGGTCAGCCTGTTCACCGCCTGGGGGAAGGGCAGGGAGAGGGCAGTGGGGAGGGATAGGGGAGCAGAGGGGGAGAGGAGGGAGAGGAGCACAGCACAGAATGCATTGGCCAAGGCCTGGACCATCTTGAGAAACATCCTGCACACATTGATGGTCAGGCTGTTCACCATCTGGGGGGGGGAGGGAGAGCCGTGAGGAAAGAGGGGAGGGAGGGAGGAGAAGAGAACGGGAAGTAGAGAGGGAGACGAGGGAGAGGAGCTTAGCACAGTAAGCATTGGGCAAGGCCCGGTCCATCTTGAGAAACATCCTGCACACGTTGATGGTCAGGCCGCTCACCATCTGGGGGGGGGAGGGGAGGGGAGAGAACAGCCGTGAGGGAGGGCAGGAGAGGAGGAAGATCAGGGGAGGAAAAGAGGGACAGCAAAATGGGAGAGGAGGGAAGAGAAAGAGAGAGGCAAAAGCACAGTGGGACGGAGGAGGGAGAGAAGAGGGCAAGGGAGGGAGGCAGAGCAGCACTGCAAGCAGTGGGCCTCCGGGACTCATCACAGGGAGCCTGGTCCATCTCTCATGAAGGTGGGGAAGGAGTAGGGATCCCAAACCACAGGGGATGAGAGAATATGCTTACAAGGAAAGAAGGATCGGTGACATAAACCCTCATAGCAAGGGCAGAGGTCAGCAGACAGTAGTTGTCAGCATCACGCTTTAACTCCCTAAACCCTGGAAAATCAACTGGCAAAGCAACTGATATTTCACCTTCGCCCAACCAAAACAAATGTAGACGCTCGATTAAGCCGCCTTGAGTCGAAAGAATCGGTTAGGTCAAGAATCAACTCGACTGCTCATTTCTAGAGCAGCTGCTGGTTCCAGTGGTTTCAGACTGTGCTACCACCACCGTGGCCTCTCCTGTACCTGCAGCGGCAAAAGTCACTGTGCCTCGGTTCACTTGCACCATCGACTGTCTCAGGTCAGAGGCATGCCAGTTTAGACGCTGTATCACCGTACCTGGTGCCAGTGGCTTCCGTAAGTGCTACAGCCATGGCCAACCCTGTACCTGCAGCTGTCACTATACCTGGTTCCAGTGGCTTCAATTCGTTTCACAGCCACAGCCTTGCCACACACAAGCATGTGCCACCCTACCTGGTCCCAGCAGCTTCGGTTCGTGCTACAACCATAGGCAGTCCGTGCTACAGTCACATCCTACCACATACCTGCTAGTGCCACCCTACCGGCACCATACCTGGTTCCAGTGGCTTCTGGCGTTGCGCTCGAGAGCAGCAAAGATGAGGGGCAGGATGGTGGTGCGGTTCTGAGCCACGAGCGTCACGATGTAGTCGTTGTTCCACAGGAACAGCGTCCTCTCGGCCACCTGCATGGGGTAGGGGAGGGGGAGGGATGGCGGGGAGGGGAGAGGGGGGAAAGTGGGGGACGGGGGGCGGGTGGTGGGGGAGGAGGGTACATGAGGAGGGCATCACATGCTGATATTTTGACATATGGGCCACAGGCGTATTGGTTCAGTTCTGCACCACGCGCGTCATGATGTAGTCGTTGTTCGACAAGAACAGTGTCCGCCACCTGGGGGGGGGGGGGGGGAAGGGGAGGGGGGTGTGAGCGGGTTTGAGGGGGGCGTGTGTGAGGGGGGGGGGGGGGGGGGGGGGGGGGGTGAGGGGGGCGCGTGTGAGGGAGGGGGGGGGGTTGAGGGGGGCGTGTGTGAGGGGGGGGGGTTGAGGGGGGCGTGTGTGACGGGAGTTTGTGTGTGCATAAATACAGTGCATGTATGAAATGCGTGGTGTGATGTATGGGCCACATATGTGTTGGTCCTGAGCCACCAGCGTCACCAAGTTGTAGTTCCACAGGAAATTGAACACAGGTTCCAATAATTGTATTAAGCCATGCTATGTGGAGTATAGCTCGAAGCGGGGCACAGTCGACCAGATGTAATAGTCACCAGAATGACTGCGTATTCGTTTTTCCCTCAGGAATAGAGGGCTCGCTGTCCAGGCTGTTAGGAAAAGTATGCACGGCGATGAAATATGTTTGAGACAGTACACGGTATTTACATACATGGTCGGGTATGTATGGAACAATATAAGGCATGAATACGAGCACAATGTAAGTATGGGGCAATATTTTGTATAAACACGCGTATGGGACAGTGAGTGATGGAATCATACGTCGATACAATGTGTGTATGGGACAATTCATAGTAGGACACAAGGTCATGAATATGACCCATGGCAAACCAACACAGGAAGGAGGGTGACGGTGAGGAGTTATGCGGTGGAAATGTAATCACTTATCACGCTGAAACAGTGTAGAGACCGGGGAACTGGCCACAGGCAGAAGGGAGACACGGGGGACGCGGCCGCAAGTGGGAAAACGAAGAGCGCGTGCATGACACGTCAGCAAGACCCCACAGTATCAACGAAACCCTAAATAACGCCAAAACACCAGGATAAACAAAGACCCGCACCGACTTGAGGCGCCACACCGTGCTGAAGAACGGCGAATTCTGAGTCGACTCAGAGGTCGTCCTTTGAGATGTAAGCGGTGCTGACCGATTTCAACATTGCTCGCACTTGAATCCAGAGATCAGCATGTGAGGACTTTAGGAACATGGTGGCCTGAGGGAGCGTACCTGAGAGTGGCGAACCGCGGTACACGAGTGCGAGGAGCTGAGGCAGCGCGCGACTTGCTGGAACAGCTGCGTTACGACCATCTGAAACTCCGGCGCCTGCGTAATAATGCGTGACACCCCCTCACACCTCCTCGCAGCTCCGCGTACCCCCTCGCAACCCCTAACACCCTCTCTCACACCCCCTTCCACCACTGTATCACATTTCCCGAGCACCGCAGCACACCCCAACACACCCGTCCCACCGTACCTGGAAGTGAGAGGAGCTGAGGCAGCGTGCGATCTGCTGGAACAGCGGAGTCATGACCATCTGAAACTCCGGCGCCTGCGTAAGCTCCAGAATCTCCTCCAACTCCCCAAGGAACAGCACCTCCTTCTGGCTGTTAGTTAAGGGCCAGAACTTAAGCAACCCGCGCAGCACCAAATCCGCGAGCTTCGGGTCTTTTTCCACAAACTGAGTGATGCAGTACGACAGCTGCTGGTGGTACATCGACACGCACTTAGGCTTGTGCAGCGGAACCAGCGCGCGGACCAGGAACAACTTATGCTCCTCCTTAAGCGGCAGCGCGAACCCGTTGATAATACTCCCTAGGATTTCCAGCAGCTCAGCGATGCCGTTATGCCGCTCCGACTCGTAGATAAACCGGTAGAATATGTTGTTAATCGCCTTGCGGATGAACGGCCGGTGCACCATAAATTTCCCGTAAATCCGGTGCAGAATAGTCTTCAAATAGTCCCGCTCGCGAGGGTCCTCCGAGTCGAACAGGTTCAGCAGCTTTAAGATGAACTTCTGGTCCACGTAGCGCTTCGCGACCTTCGCGTCGGTCTCGTTAGAGACAACATACCTAAGCAGGAACTCGTAGACTATTTGCAGGTGCGGCCACGCGGCTTCCATAGTCGGCTCCTCCTCCTCCGGGTCGAACGATTCCGACCCGGACATCTCGTGCGCGGACGGCGGTAACGGCCGGAAGAGATTAATCTCCAGCATGCGCGTGATGTCTTCGAATACCGCTTCGTTGAATTTCCCGGTTCCGGAATTAACGTAGTCGACTAGTTCCAGGAGCGTTTGCCGCTTAATCTCCTTCTCCTTCACGTTTTTCATGGGGTCGTTGAAATCGAAGAGGTAAGTGCAGAGATGCAGCTTCCGAATGAATAAAGCCTGCTTTTCCTGCGGACCCACGTCTCTAAACAGCGGCAGCGGCTCCGCGAAAGGCGACGCGTTCGCCTGCGCGATCACTTCGTTGGGGTCGCGACGAACGGGAGCCGTTGGATTCGCGACGCCAGGAGGCGGATGCGGGCCTCCCGCCTTTCCGGCGTTCCCTCCCCCTGATGCAAGCTTCCCCGAGCCCGACCGAGCAATGCCACCCCCCGCTGCTGGCGCCGCTGCTGCATTGCCTGCATCGTGCGACGCTGCCTCTGACTTACCCTGCTTTTTCCGACCCCCTGCAAACGTCTTCTTAACCGACTGAAGCATGCTAAGTCGTTTTGTGCACTCGAAACCCTAGCCGCTAATTACTATCGACACGAAATTGCTAACGTTGTTCGGCTTCAGTCAAGCAGGAATAGCAATTCCTAGGCAAGGAGAACAGTCTGGTCATGGCCGAAACCAGAACGCGAAATTAGGTCTACACCGAAACTCGCCAGGCGTCGAGTCCAAAACGGCCTACTTCGCAAAACAAAAAGCGAAAATAAGGCGAACCAGATATGACATCCAGCGGCTCGGCTACAAGTTGCGAATCAGGCTCGTAGGATCCTGGATTGAGCCGCCATGGATTATGACAGGTGAGCTCCCAGGGTTGAAAGGATAAAGTAGATGGGGAAACGCGTCGAGATGCCAGGCGAGGGACGGTGTGACGCAAACGAATGGAATGGGGGGTATAGGGGCGATGTGCTTATAAATACACGCGGGGGAAAGTTGTATGGTGCTGGAGCGGAGTTCGTTTGAGGTTGATGCGGGGTTGGGTCCGCAAGCCGGTGTGCGCGCGGAGAGTGAAGGGGAGGGATGCGCGGAGACCAGGGAAGACTTTCCGCAGCAACTGTGGAAAATGGGGGAACGCTTGCTGCGGTTGATTGCAGGCGCAGCTGATTTGGTTGGGTGATGGTGAGGCGAGTCAGGGCGTCGTACACCCACTAACGAATACATTCAAACGGCATATGTGAGGCAACATATTGATAACTGTAAGGAATTTTCTCGGCATTCCTTACGGAGCCCGACTACATCGCGTACAGCAACAGCCGTTGTTCGCCCGTTACTGCAAACGGGACTTCGTCAACTTCGCGCGCACTGATTTGCCAAACCTCGCACTGCTGGCCCGGCCGTGTCGGCCTGCGCTTCGGGACTAGCCCAAGCCTCGCTGCCACCGTAGCACTAGCTAGCTCGCACGCACCGCGTTACCGTTTGCATGTTTCGCGTATAAATGTTCGCTCATGCCTTCGCTCACATTTTGTACTCGTTTGACACCTTAGTGCAATTCTCGCTAGTTCGATTCATTGCACCCGTAACACTTGGTATTCAGAGCCCCTTTCTTTCGGACCGCGCATCTCCGCACCCCAGGAAATCAACTTTTGATTTTTCACTCGAACTGACTCACGTACCTTAGCACCTAGGAGCCGCTGTCCTCGCGTTCTCTCGTAATCGCGTGCAGCCACGACTGCGCCTAGACTAAGACAAGCCGACGCCCTTCGAAATGGCTGAACACATCGACGTCACGACTCTCACGCAGGAACACTTGAACGATCTGCTGCGACAAATCCGCGAGAGCGCCGAGGAAATCGCGACGCTGACGGCAGAACGCTCGTCCCTGCAAAACGACCTCACAAGAGCACAATCCCAAGCACCTGGCACTCCGATTCAGCCCGCACCACAAACTGTCAGAATCCCAACCACTAGACCATTGGGATAAAAGGGCTTGTTTTAGTAGCGGGTCAGTGCGCCCATAACCCCCCAGGCAAACGCTTCTGTAACCCCCCTTAGGATCGATCGGGGATCTCACAGTGTAGCTCTACTGACACCCCCCCACACTGGGAGGCCCAGGACTGAGCACAGTGGCAACGGCCAACATGTGCATACACCGGGATTCGAACCCGAGACCTTCGCTCTGATACCATGTCAGAATCCCAACCACTAGACCATTGGGATAAAAGGGCTTGTTTCAGTAGCGGGTCAGTGCGCCCATACTGATCTGTTGTCATCTCTTTGAGCGTTTTGGGCTCCTTGTATGTCAAGTCCACCATGGGGACGCCGGTTGCTGCACATCCTAGCACGTGTTGCTGCAAGTTGGGATGTTTGTTGAACGCTTGTGTTGCCTGTCGTTTCCCAAACAGCACGTCCAGTCCTGTCATGGTGTCCGTCCCTTGTCCTTCTCCTCCGAGCACAGTCACAGTTGGGTTGAAGTGAACCCGACGTGGAGTTGCGTCATGAACTGCCAGCTCGATCCCATCAGGTGGGTAGGCAAAGTCATAGATATGACTTGCCTCATTCTCCATTTCGTTGCTTTCAGCACCTTCAGGAATAGAGACGCCAGCTGGAGGTAAGTCACTTGCTGCACCCCCTTCTCCCTTATTGGTTGCGTCGTCAATGGGTGCATCTCCTTGATTTGCGACAACTTCCTGTCCTCGTGTGGTTGATGTGTCCGTGGACGACGTAGGCGATGGCGAGGATGCGGGAAATGAGTCCAACTCGGACCCAAAGCCTTCTCCCCCGGAAGTCCAGCCGTCGATGTGAGGTGAGACTTCTTCCATGTAGCGGTGGCGTTCGAGTACCGATTCAGCGTCCGGAATCATGAGGTCATCAAAGAAGCGAGCAGACCGTGCGTCCGTGTCAAAATCGCTTGCCAAGTCCCGCACGATCCATGCCATTCGAGTGTTGGAGAGTCCAAGGAACATCCCAATCCTTCCTCTTTGCTCGAACTTCCCAAAGCTACATTGGGGAGGGAGGTAGTAGCAGAGGCAGCCAAAGGTCCTTGCCATTGAAACATCTGCCGCCTTTCCTGTCATCATGAAGTATGGTGAGTGTGCTGATGGGTTGCTGCTGCAGCTGATGCGGTTGTGTAATCAGGCTGCATACTCCAGTGCATAAGGCCAAAACTTAGAAGAAAGGCTGGCCCCGGTAGTCATTGCACGCACTCGGTCCATGAGTGTGCGGTTAACCCGTTCAGCGACTCCATTCTGCTGCGGCGTGTGTGGTAAGGACGTTTGGTGATTGATACCGTGAGAACTCAGGTTATCCGTGAATGCGTTTGATGTATACTCCCCCCCATTGTCCGTGCGCAAGGCAGCCAGCAGCGTCTTGGGCAGCTTGGTCTTCATCTCACGGTGCCAAGCCAAGAAAACTGCAGCCATGTCGGACCGGCGAGCCAACAGCGCCACCCACAGGTAGTTGGTGTAGTCGTCCTTGAGCGTGAGCACATAGCGAAGTGAAGGGTGAGCATCACCCAGGTCCATGATGTCGCTATGCACGAGCTCCAAAGGTCGAGTTGTGGCATTGGTACGTCCTGTGGGAAAGGGTGCCTTGCTCATTTTCCCTCGAAGACATGAGTCACATGGGGGTTTGAGAGGGTTAGTCTTGTCGGATATGGTGAGTCCTTCAACATCACCATTTCGAAATGTTGCATCCATGGATGTGTATGATGGGTGACCCAAGCGCTTGTGGGCCATGCGGTATGTGATGGATGCATGCGCTGAAAGTGGATTCAGCCCTTTATGACCATGATCATGCGATGCGACTTCCTCATGGTAATGGTCAGATCCATGGGCAGATGCAAGTGCAGGCTCATACTGCACCATGAGCACACCATGCATGATCATTCCAACCCCAATGACCACATCCTCATCTTCAACCGCCATAGTAATCTCCGTGCGTCCGTCACCACGAGTGTGAATCTGAGCTCCTTTCGTGTGCAGCTGGCAATAGGAGAGTAGGTTGGACTTCAAGCCAGGTACGTAGAGCACATCCGTGTAGCGCACTATTGTTCCATCGAGTGCCGTTGCTCGGATTGTTCCCGCCATCGAGCTCAACAGGTGGCTCCCGTCAGCAAGCTCCACGTAAATAGGTTCGTCCAGCTTCTCTAGACCCTCAAACCAATCCTTTTCTGAAGTCATGTGTTGGCTGCATCCGCTGTCCAGCAACCACAGCGACCCTCCGGCTGCTGGTAACATTGCTTGTGACGACCGAACCGTTGCAACGCATGTAATGGTGCGTTTGTTGTCTCCCCCCGCTGCCCCTTGCTGTTTTGACGCTTGGTTGTCATGTTTGGGGCTTTCACTCCTTCGAGGCGAGGACGAACGGCTATTCCAGGTGCGCTGGTTTGTCCTCCCTCTGTTTTGTGGTTCCCACCTTGGTGGTGACCAACCCGGGGGCGCCTTAGGACATTTGTAGAACGGGTGGCCAGATTCCTTGCAGTACCAACACACAAGGTTGGAGCGCCCTCCCCTTCCTTCGTTGGCCTTGAGTTTCTCCCCAACCGCATTCTGTCCTCCTGTTGCCGCATTTTGGTTGCCCTTTGTCTCGGTCCTCTCTTTTGCTGGTGAAGTATCTCCACGTGCTTGACCAGCCATACGGGGAGGACGTTTGTCACGGTTGGTCTTGCTGATGAGGTCTTGGTAGCGTTGTTCCTGAATCATCATTCGCTGTAGTGTGTAGCTGTCCGAGATGTCGTGTAGCATTGCCGAATGCCTCAGCTCCTCCCAATGCGGCGGCAGCCCGGTAATCAGATTTAAAGTGAATGAATCTTCATCCACCATCTTTCCCGCCGTTGCCAGCTTGTCTCGAATTGCAGTTGCCCGGTTGATGTATTACTCCACCCTTTCTTGGCTCCCCATCTTCAGGTTGTCCAATTGCCTTTGGAGAGACGCCTTTGCCACCGAATCCTTTGCCTGGTAAGTCTCCATCAGGTACTCCCATGCTTCGAATGTCGGACTGTATGACTCTTGGAACACGTCCAGCTGTAGTTGAATGGTTGCGCTCACGCTATGTAGAAGCACCCAAAACGCCAGCGTAGCACGTTGTGAGTAATCTGCTTGCAAAGCTTCCAGCTGTTCCATTGCATCTCGCATTTCTCCATTCGCCATTGTCACTGGGTATTGTAGTGTCACGAAAAACTCCCACAGATTTGTCACGCGCGCATTCATGCGAAATCAAAGAGCCCACTCTCGAAAGTTAGTGCCGTCGAACGGGGTTGTTGTGAACGCCTTGTCCACCGTTGCTCCCACCATTTTGCGTGACAGCCTGTCTTTATCTTCTTCGGTGTACTCGCAAGGAGACGGGTCGAAGAGCGTAGGCACGGTAGATGGTCGAGGTAGTTGCACCGTGCGTTGTGTCCCTTCACGTTCCACCACCTCCACTTGGTCACGTCACATAACTCCACTTGATTGCATCCCGTGCCCCATGCGCCCGATGCTTCCTGCAGGTACAGCTTCCGGTTGAGACCATTGCGCACGAGGGGGTACGACGTTGCCATAAAGGTGTGATCTGCC